TGATTTCTTTTTGTGGCCTTACCTTAAAAACACTATTTTTGAACTGCCTATTCCTGATTTAAACCATCTGCAGGCTCGACTTATAGACAAGATTCGTGAAATTAACAATACCCCGAGCATCTTAGAAAATGTCTTTAATTCTTTGAGGAACAGGTGTGAAAAGTGCTTGGAACAAGGAGGGGGACACTTTCAGCAGCTGCTTTAATTTATTGTTATAACAAGGAGGGGGACACTTTCCGCAGCTCCTTTAATTGTTTGTTATTGTTATCACGATTATTCTTTAAAATAAAGTTATATAGTCATTAACGTTATTGAAACTGACAGCTGCTATACAACTCGTTGAGAAATGAGGTTAAGTTGGTCGCTATAAGCTACTCCCTACGTCCAATGTTTCAGAGCCAACTTCGACCACGTTTTTATTTGAACGCATATTATAATTAAGAAAGGGAGAAATAAGATGTATATTTTGTTTACTAATTTTATTACAACATAGCATTTTGGAGACCTTTTGAACGGAACAAAATAAATTTTTTTGTCAATATAATAAAATTGTTTGACATAAATAATTAAAATATGCTGTTTGCCAAATGAACATATAATAGAACTTTTCTACACATTATATACAAATTATTATAATTTTTTACCTTTAGCAAAAAACTTTTTTAGGGACGTCTACGAGTCATTAAATTTTATTGCCAGGTGTTTTTTTACATGTTCAACTGACTTCAGAAACTTTCGGCCTTTGGCGCTTCGATTTTTTCAATCAAATTTAAAAAAGTTTGTGCAAAATATTAAAGGAATAATTAATAGTTTCATTTTAATTGTAACTTATAAACAAACACTATATCCTGAAAAGGAGACACCTAATGGAAAATAGTATAAGGAAAGTCTCATTATTACCAATGATAATTCTACTAAAGATTTACACAAATTGTTAACATAGATAATAATCCTCAAACATTTTCAATTGAAACTCCTTCAACTTCATGAATTAATTTTTGATAATGCGTCAGGGTCAGGGTTCAGGTTCAGGTTTAATACCTACTTAACAAAAAATAAGTGTGTATTTGCCATTATTTCTCTGTCAATAAAATACGATAAGTTATAATACTTCCATTTTTTGAAATTATAAATTTTTATGGTTGGCGATAAAATTTTGTATGCACCACGACAATAAAGTGTCTTTATTGAATTCGCCTGTTACTCGCCTCGCTAGCTTATCTCATAATCTCAGGCTCGTTCAGTAAAAGAATCGCTTCACTGACTTGGTACATAAATGACTATTATTTCCAGCTAAATAATGATTTCATACAAAAATACAAAAGACTAGTCACATTGTTTATTTTCCGTTAATATTCAAAAAGGTAGCAAACATGCCATTATGCCTCTAAATTAATACGAGTTAATAAATAAACGATGTTAAACTTACCAGCGTAAACTACACCATCAAACAAATCATTCATTATTTTTGCCAGACCTTCTGCATTGAGCACACCATGAAGTGCTCCTACAAACACAGTTTTTCCAGGATCCAATTTCTGTGATGTCGATTTGGTGTAGTTTGAATCATTAATGATCCATGGTATGACTTGCACCTTTTGTTACATTACAATAATTTACAAAATATTGAATATATGGTGTATTAAAGTAACAACCTTCTTATCTTCTTGATGAGAAAAAAAAATTGTATTTTTCTACCGCCATGTAGTGTAGTGTATTATGACAAATGAGGAAGTTGCATCAAATTTTTTTTTTAAGCAAAATTTATTTAAAGTGCAGAAAATTACTATAAAAGTATGTTTCTATATGTATAAACCCTTTAAACTTAACTATTAATATGTAATTAGGTATTAAAATAGTGAATATAATTCGGTGGGCGAAAACGGTCCCTAATTGGTCAAGCAATTTGTGACGTCAGGATCCGGTATATGAGTGTTAAGACTGTCATGACGCGGGAGGCTGGCGCTATCATTGCATTGCTGTCACTTAATCTTGTGTTGAATTAGTTTGTGTTCACATTGAATTCTGAGTAGTTTTGAGTAGTTAGTTTTAAGTGTATACATTTAAAGACAAGTTTCGTTAATTTTCATAGAGTGTACGAACATTTTCACAATATCTACCCAGGCAGTTTTAATGCGTGGCGGCTTCAGGATCAGAATTACAACACGAGAACATGAAAAACATAACAGTGTCTGAGCATAAATTTTATAGTACCCATGTGTAATTCCACAACACTAACTGCCCCCAACAAACTATTTAATGTACCAAAGGATGAGATAATGAGGAAAAAATCATGCAAACATATTTTATAGAATATCTATTTTTGACAAATTATCAGATTGCTCTTGGACAAATCCAGCTTCTGTAGCCATAGAATGTACGATTTTTAAAATAATTAACAATATTGTGTTAAGTAAAAGTAAATAATATAAAATCTATCCGGCACACGTAGTTTGCATAAACACAAATGAGCAAGAGTGAGACAGACTACGGAATACAACTCTACACGACTCGTTTAATTTGGACCGATACCAGATCGTAACGTAAGTCAGCCGCCTTTATTTAAGACTGCGTTTTAGTGCATAGAGAATTATTTTGAATTTATATATTTTTTGATAGGAAAACTATTAATTAAAAATTTAAAATTTATGTGGCAATTGACTTTTTACGATGAAAGGAATTTAATAAGAAAGAAAAAAAAATGTGAAACTTCCCCATTCCAGTTGTTTTCCAGTAACAGGTATTTGTAGAAAATCTTCATTTTCAATCACTTTGTATCTCTGTCTTGTAAACAGTGGTGTAGTGAGGGGTGATATTTTGATACCAGTTTCTAGTCATAGTGACCAGGCTGATTCCCCCGTCATGTTCGTACATATTACGTGCACTTAAACTTTTTTTTTAATATCCCAAGCAATTTTTCTAACATCGTTGTTAATTTAATAGGTAGGTACTTAAAAATATTAAATACCAAAAATATACTGTTTTTTATAATACTGACAAAACAAATTTATTTTTCCCTCTATTGTATAAAAATAAAAAGAAATTGGAATGTATTTAATGTAATGTGTTTAAAAATAAAAAATAAATAAATTTTATAGCTAGCTCTTAAATATGAATTTAAAAGGAAAATATATTTTGTTTTAACAGAGCCGATATAAACTGAGTGACTTATGGTTTAAAGCAATGACTAAACTTGATGGGCACTATCACCGGTATACTAGTCACCAATAAGTCCATTATTAAGTGGACAGCTGGCGACAACTAAAGTGGCTATATTTTGATAATGAAACATGGTACCCATATCGTCTTTAGGTAAGAATTACATTATTTGTAGGCTAGCACAGAGAAGTTTCATGAGGAACGATTACAAACAACATTTGGGAGGATAATTAAAATAGGGGTTTCCCACATTAAGATCTTAAAGAGGGTTGCAGGTACATGCGGAAAATATATATTTTTTCATAATCTACTGAAAAATACAATGGTGGGTGTTTTTTATTTTTCAAAATTCTTTTAACAAAATTGAAAATTTTTTGAACAAAAAAATACCTGTATTCCCATTTTAATTTATTTCGCAAATTAAATTTGAAATTTTTTCATCATGGAAGCTTTCCCCATAAAAATATGACCACTTCAACTGGTGATATTTGGTTTTTAATAGACGTTATGGTTACAGAACTATGAGACATACAGGTTGTAACAATACAAGGTGTCAAAAATGAAGCGTCCTCATTTTCTCACTAAATTTAAGAATATTTTTTTATACAAGGTGTTCCAACTTTAATGGAAGACAGAGCACACTCACAATTTATTGATTTCTAAACATATTTATTCCTCTATGATGTTGACTGATTCTGAGACATAGGATGTTTTATTGACTTACGATTAATTATTGGGAAATTTGGATGAAATAATCTAGAATTACTAGAACTGTGATTTAATTTTGAGGGATTTACGATAGATGGAGCAACTGTAACTATATTCATGTCAAAACTCCGTCATTAAGCTTTACTTTTTATTATGTGTCATTTTGCGGATATGTAAACAACATATTTTTTTCAGCTCTGAAGATGTCAAATTACAAGCCAACAAAACACCACTTGCAGAAAGTTTTACTTTTCCTGTTTGATTTAAACTTACGGTGAACATACTCTATTGACGTTTTGGAAGTGGTAATTTTGAGGCAATTGACAAAGAATGCTCTGGTCAAACGAAGATGAGGAATTGGAAGTGTTACTCGACCAAGATTCATGTCAAATACAAGAGAAACTTGGTGAATCATTGAATGTTGATCACACAACAGATTCCAAGTATTTAAATGCACTCGGTATGATTCAAAAGCAAGGAAATTGGATGTCATACGAATTGAAGCAGAGAGATGTTGAACGTGATTATTCACGTGTGAACAATGAAGAAGTTGTACATATTTTTATTCTTCTCTTATTAAATTCCTTTCATCGTAAAAAGTCAATTGACGCATAAATTTTCAATTTTTAATTAATAGTTTTCCTATAAAAAAATAAAGAAATTCAAAATAATTCACTATGCACTAAAACGTAGTCCTAAACAAAGACGGCTGGCTCTTACGTCACGATCCGGTATCGGTCCAAACCATACGAGTTCCGATCTCGGTAGTCTGTGTTCTGTAGACTGTCTCACTCATTTGTGTTTATGCAATCTACGTGTGCCGGATAGTTCTTATATTATTTTCTTTTATTTAACACAATACTGTTAATTATTTTAAAAACTGTACAGCTGTAGTGTGGCTACAGAAGCTGAATTTGTCCAAGGGCAATTTGATAATTTGCCAAAAATTGACGTTCTATTAATGTTTTCATGATCCTTACACATGTGTAAAGTAGATTTAACACTAAATGAACCTTTCTTCAGGTCTCTTTTCATAACTGAACACCTAGGGACCGCCAAGCCGGATGTATTGGCCCAGAGACCTGGGTAGCTCAACACCTTTCGCCTGCGTATATACATACATACATAGCTAAACACCATTTCTTCATTTTTTCATCCTTTGGTACATTAAAGAATAATTTGTTGATGGCAGTTATTGTTATGGAACTACACATAGATACTATACAGCATTAATAATATTTACGTTCAGACACTGTTACGTCTTTCATGTTAGTGTGTTGTAATTCTGATCCTGAAGCCGACACGCACTAAAGCTACCTGGGTAGAATATTGTGAAAATGTACGTAGACTCTATGAAAATAAACGAAACTTGTCTTTAAATTTATACACTACTCAAAAGTACTTCGATGCGAATACAAACTAAATCAACACAAGATTAAATTAACGTCTTAACAGTCATAACGTATATACTGGATCCTGACGTCACAAATTACTTGAATTTACAAAAAAGTCCCTCAAAATGAATTCAGTCCTAGTATCAACGTTGGTTACATATTACAAGAACTTGTAGAAAATGTTCAAGGCGGTAATTAAAAAAAAAAATACCATAAAAATAGAGATATGAAGGTGATTAGTCTAATTTAAAGCATTTAAGCTTTAATACTTACCTCTTTTGCCTTCATCCGTTTTGAGCTGATTTTGTAGTACCAATTATTGCTGTTGGGATAATCGTTTGTACAAGCCTGAAGCAGTGCTTTGACATTCTTTTCCGATTCAAATATAATGTAAACATATCCTTTCGGTTGGGAAGCTTGTTTGTCCTTGCCTGGCCATTCTACGCGAATTGGTCCAAACTGCTTGAATGTTTGCACAAGCAACTGTTCAGATATATCCCAGGGAACGCCACCCAAGAATACTTTACTTGAGTAACCGGTCGGTTTAACAGTGGAACGAGGAGGTAAAACACCACTCCATGTGCATGTGGCATCATACACGGCTGAGGGAATATGTTAATTATGACATGCTCTTTTAAATTTACGAAAAATTTAGAACTTACAGGCTGCAGATCGATGAAAACGAGCTGCTTTGTCTAGTTGTAAGTTTTCTGGGATAAAGTTTATCAAAGAAGAAGCACTGCCATTCCATTTATCTAGTATTTGCTGAAATAGTTTATTAATCTATTAAGAAAAGTTATTCCGTTACTTTAAGATTTCAATTTTAATTAATAATGTGCAACCATATTTATTAGAAGCTAAGATTGAGAACAAATCTAAAAAAAAATAAATTCAATGAAATCTATACAGGGTGGGCCACTTTCAACAAGTTTTTTTGGGGCTCCTTTTTCAAAAAAACATTGAACGATTTCTTATTTAGTATTGTTTTTCACAAATTTATACATATTTCTTTTTTTTTGCGACGTTAGAACGGTTGAGACACTGCTCATTAGATTCTTGGGATATGACAATTTACACCAACTTGATCTTTATTTTCACATGCTATACATGTATTTGATGTTGCAAGCATAGTTTTTTAATTTGGGACACACACTGTATATTTTACTGAACATACTTAACTGAAAAACCAGAAGTTAAAAAAAATGGCATATGCGCCAGTCAGTTGTAGGTAAAACACAAAAGTGAATGAACTGAAATATTCTTTACAAAAATCAGAATTTTCACAAATATAAAAGTTATGAAAATTGTGCACAAGATATCTTAACTATCAAGTTCCAAAATTGTTGGTTCACTCTATATATTTTTAATAGGTTTTATATAGTCATCAAAGAGGAAAACTTCATCTTCAAAAGACTTATCTTTATATACAAAACAATGTCATATGAAGTGTACAATAGCATTGACGTGAATTTTTACGCGTCAGACATTTAACAAAAAATTCAATATTCCTCAAAATTTGCAAAAATTAAGATAGTTGTTGATTTTTCAATTTTATACTCATATCAATTTTCAGCTCTTTAGTAGGTAAAATTTTAAAAATACAGCGCAACTTCGTTAATTTGAACTAATTAAAATTCAAATGAAGAGCATTATCAAATTATTTAGACTATCGAGAAACAATAGGGCATAATTTAAATCAAAATGAAAGATTATTTCTAGGGCTTTAGTTTGTTCGCTGTTAATGTCATTCTTATTTGATGTAAGTAAAGGTTTCTTTTTATTTTTTAAATTTACTTACAGTGAAAAATATTAAATAAATTTTGAATTCCTATTTGAAAAAGAACATCATATTTGTTTTTTTTTCTCAAAAAAACAATTTTTTAAACAAACGTTTGCAGCCAATTTTTTTTTTTTTTTTTAATGGAAAATAATTTCAATTAACTTACTAATGTGCTAGTTCTTTAAGACTTCTTTAAACCATTGCATTTAAAAATTTAAGAAATTTATAATTTTGTTCATAAATAGATAAATTTTTATCATATACAGTAAAATCTATTGATCAGCGGTATTTATTTGGGGCACATTATTTTGATTAATTTTTCTTTACAGTGTGTTTAAATCCATGTTAGAGGTATATTTCCTCGATCATTTTAAGATAGCTTAATAAACAGGGGTGTAAAGCCTTTGAGATATAGAGCGTTGAAAGTTAAAAACATATTAAAGTATACATACATTTTTTCAATATCTCTAAAGATATTTTGCTTAGACTTAATGCTAAAATTCACAGAATTGGTATACAGAGTGATTTCACTTTAAATACAGAAACTGCAGAAATATATTCGTTGCCAAAAATAAGTACTTTAGTCTATAAACATTTTTTCTGGGAGATGTGGTATTCGAGATACAGGGTGTTGAAGTTTCCAAAACAAATAATATTTTCTGTCATACCTTCATATTGCGCTGAATGATTTGAATAAAATTTACTACAGCGTAATCACTTAATTCCACCTTTTACTGGATGTAATATTAACTTCGTGGTATTAACCAATGGAGCGCTATGAAGGTGTTGCTCCGTTTTCTCAAGAAAAAATATGCAACTAACAGTTTTTTTTTTTAGAAATAATGTTAGATTCAGGTACTGTTATGTTAAATGAATGAAAAGTATTTCTTGGTGTCTTTTAATAGTACCAACCGTTTAGGAGATAATTTACTTATTTGCCGACCATAATGCGCAAATTTAGTTCACATACTCACACATGTTTGCAATATTAGTTAGTCGTTTAAGTATTATAATCAGCTTTGTTTATTTATTCCTGAAGCTGCAGTCCTTCTTAGACTTACGAACACGAGACGAATTGTAGCAAAGAATAGAGGGAAATTGTAATCTCCTCAGGGAAAATCATATCATGACAAGTTTCTCTATAAATGTCTCTAGATGTCAAGTGTATTGATGCGGATGGACTTTGTTTTGAACAATGGTTGTAGGACTCGTTACATAATTATTTACTCGACCTATTTGATATTTTATTTTATTATTATTTGATATTTTTTTCAGAAATAAATTTATTTCTACAAAAAAACACCAGTGGCGTATTCATTTCTTGGGAAAAGTTAGCGGACGCTTTAGTAGCACGTCACTGAATAAAACCAGGAGGTTTTCATCAAGTAAACGGATTAATTTAAAAGGAAAATTCAATAAAAAGTAAAAACAATCCCAAATATCTTCTAAATGGCTGCTACTATTAAAAGCCACCAAGAAACACTTTTCATTTATTTAACGTAACAGTATCTGAATTTAACATTATCTCTACAAAAAACCGCTAGTAGCGTATTTTTTCTTGGGAAAATGCAGCGGCACCTCCGGTAGCACGACACTGGTTAAAGCCACAAGGTTAATATTACATTCAATAAAAGGTCCAATTAAGTGAATATGCTGTAGTAAATTTCATTCAATTCCGTCAGCGCATTATGAAGACATAGTAGAAAATATATATATTTTTGTAAACTTTAACACCCTGTGCCTCAAATACCGAGCCCCGCAGGGAAAAAGTTTATAGAGCAAACTCTACTTATTTTTTGGTAATGAATCTCTAGTCCAGCAGTTTCTGTATTTAAAGTGAAATCACCTTGTATATATATGACATCCATTACCTAGCAGATATATTAGGAGGCACTACCATAATATCTAAGCCCGTGAGTTTTTTAGAAATTTGTTGGGGATTGGTGTAATTTGTCAACAAATTTTATTCAACCTATCAGCAATTGCATTATCTCTCTAGAATAGACGTAACGGTTTGTCTTTGTTCATTGTAAACAAATTGGTAATGCGAAAATTTAGGGAAGTATCAGTCGTAAAATATTGGTATAGTTTTTCCGAAGTCAACTGAAGAACCAATAACTTCAAGGTATGTACCAGGCTCGGTCGCTAAGCAACAACTCGGCATTGAAATATTTGAAAAACTTGTTCCCACATTTATTTAGCCATACCCATATACAGGTCTGGTCGAACGAAACGTGCAGGTGGTAGAAATGTATATGCGCAGTTGAAGAATGAGCGTGTGGGCAAAGAGCAATATGCACTGTTGCTCTGGCCCATTGCGTCATAAAATTCAGTTGTCGATAAGTCGCCTGGCAGTGCAGTGCGGCAATGCGGTATTTGGTATGATTCATATAATTTTAATTTATTATAGGCACCCTTCTATTAATCATTCATATTACAATTGCGAAAGGGAAAAATAAGAGGGATATTTGGTTTACTATTATTACAACTTGGCATTTTGGAGACCTTTTGAAACGGAACAAAATGAAATTTACCATCAATATAATAAAATTGTTTGAGGACATAAATAATTAAAATATGTTGTTGGTCAAATGAATATATAATAGAAATTTTCTACACATTATATACAAATTACATATAATTTTCTACCTTCAGCAGAAAACTTTTTTAGGGATGCCCATGAAACTCATTAAATTTGACTGCTCGGTTTTTTATGCATGTTCAACTGACATCGGAAAAACTATTCATGAAGATTCTTTATCTCAAATTTCGTCAATTTGCAGAGCAATTTATTTATATACAGAGAAAATTTCCATTTCCTCTGCATATACATTATTTTCACAATTTTAGGCCCACACGTAGACTTTATTATCGACCAGTATTAGAAAGTCAAAATTCTCATATTTTCAATGCCTTATAAATTTTTTAAAGAGAAACAAAAACTTGTACCGAGTGGTTCAAAGTGAGTGGCCTATTAGATTTTAGAACCTACTACGATTTAAATTTTGAAAATTGGCACACTAGAGTTTTTGGGTGTGTTCTTTTCAAATCTAATAATTTTGTTCCTGTAACACTTCCGGTTATACCGGAAGTTGACGTCAACTTTGTTATTTTAAATGGAACACTCTGTATGTTTTTACATTTTTGGATTCTATGCTTCATTTTAAGGTGACTTTCATCAAGTTTTCCTATTTCTAAAATTAGTTACCGAATCTTGTACAGGGTGGTGATAATTCCCGAGTTTGGTCCACTGAAAACCATCTAAACATGATTTTTTGTAATGGAACACTCCATATATTTTTTCCAATTTATAGTTAAGTACGAATACGTAATATAATATTAATCTATTTCAGTAGAATACCCAAATAATTTCAAATAACAAAAACTAAAGAGATAATTATAGGAAACCGTAGAATGGATGGAAAGAGAATAAAATGGCACATCCAAAAAGTATCTGAACGATTTTCTTAAAAAAAAAACATCAGATTTATATGTGCAATAATAATTACCTGGGTACTGTTGTGTGAACAGGCAGGAGGCAACAGTGTACTGAGTAAAGCAGGAGGTTGTTGCAAATACTTAAGAGCGTGAATAGCTTGCAAATTTTGTAAATTTGATATATCCAAGTCGGTTGTTCCACTGCCGAAAATATTACGAGCCAAATTATCATTTAGTGTCAATGAATTCTGAAACATGGAATAATAATGAGAATTAATTAAAAAACATATAATACTGATGAATTAAAACTTTTCTTTAAGCTATTTGTAACATTATTCTAAGCAGCATAATACGGTTTACTTCGGAAAATATTTATTACAAAAAAAAATATTACCAATATTTCGCAAAGACTGCCATCAGGGCTTGATATACCACTCAAATCTGATTCTGGAGAGTTAGATCGAGAATTATTGGTACTTAGAAGAGAATGCTCTAAAACTCCTGGACTACTGCTACCACAAGAATCACTGGAAGAAAATTAATTGGTTTGAGTTTTGAGATAATAATTTGTTACGTAATTATTACAAAAACGATCACATTTTAATTTATTGAAAAAAAAAAAATCAATATTATAGTGTCCCAAAAGGTAATTTACATGATAGTAAATCATGTGACTAATACATATTTTATCTAATATAAAAACTTAACACTCAAATTTTACTACAAGCAGGAAAAAATGTAAAAAGTTCTGATCAGTTTATAAATAACCTATTTAATGGTTTTACTCTTTTAGTTCAAAATTTTGTTATTACATTACTGTTGTTAACATAATTTTCATGTACCATTTGCACGATTAAATTTAACTTCCCGTTCTCCAAACTTTGTAGGGCCTAAAATATTTAATTGTTTACGTGTGGAACTAAAAAGTATAAATAGTGAGTTTTTATTAAAGACAAAATTAAAACAATATTTAATAAATAAATATTTGTATTCCGTATTAGAATTCTATCATTCTATATAATTTATGTTTGTGTTTGTAAGATTGAATATTTCTATACATGTTTGTTAGATGTGTGAGAGGAAAATAAATTATTATTATTACATTAAATATAAACAACTTTTTGAACTTGTTTTTGTTTTAATATTTAATTAAAGACAAACATTTCTAAAGGCATAATTCTTTCTAGATTATGTTTGTGTTTTATAATGTTTGGTTTTTAATTTTGAAACACGTTATATCATGAAATTTATAGAAAAATGATAAATTGAAATGATTGAGTTCTCGAACAATTTCGTTAAATACAGTTTTTAACGAAAACAAAAATTACAGGCATTTTGCTTTCACATTTTGAAATTTTTAGGACGCCCTGTATGTTTTATTACATATTTGATTACTCCCATAGCTTCCCAAGATAAGCAAAACTTTTTATCAATAACTTTTTTCCAAAAATCAACAAAAAAGTTTACAAAAGTGCGGTACCCCTTCCGAAAACGCACTGTATAGGTACTATGTGAAAATTTATTATCGCGGTAACAAATCTTAAAAATAACCGTTAATAACTGTTTTATTTCTTCTTCTTATTTCTTTTTTTTTTTATTAAACTTCATATCGAAAAACTCCAAAAACTTTCTTCTAGTCTTACTACCTAAGTTTATAGTTTATATTGCAAATAAAATTAGGTAAATATTAACGATATTTACAACCTAACCTTTCATAATTATTTAAATAATTAAATAATTTTATACAAAATCTTTATAATAATTATGTGGCTGTAACTATATCTTTGTGGCTCTATTGAATTATTTATTTTTTTTTTTTTTCAGTGTGGCAGAAATTTCCAATCAAACAAAAAGAGAACATCAGAATAACTTTTTTTATATATATACAATGCCATTTATGACTATATTTAAATAAATATTCAGAATTAGCGTACCGATTTTTTTGTAGAAATTCCGCTTTTTTGACAAAATCGTTCCCGTCATAAAGAACAGTTAGCAATCTTATACATTACTGGTTTCTTTAGAGACAATATACTTAATTGAATGTTCTACTAAAGAGGGCGGAAATTTATTTTTTCGAACATCTGTCATAATGACAGCGTCATTTTAACCAACAGCTGTTCATTAGAAAAACGAAAATAAATTTGCCTCTCCAATAATTCACCAGTTTAATTAAAACGGTTCAAGTTTGTCCCCAGTTGGAAAGAAACATTGTAAATGCGTCTGATGGCTAATCTGGTGTAATGAAAAACTTGCGGCTATTTTGGTCAAATAATTTTGATGAAAATATGATAGTCTGACATGGACCAAAAAGTATCAAATTTCGCAATAATTAGTGAAATTACGCGTGTTCCTATAAAGTATTGATTAAAAAAAAAAAACGATTTTCTGAAATAAGGATAGGTACAAAAGATTACATTCTTTAAATTGAAATTGCAAAACCAAATTCAAATATTAGCATTCATCTGAATTTGACAAGCACTTGAACATGACTTTCAGTTTAAGGGAGTTGTTATTGCTACCTGCTTTCCTACTTACCTTAATGAAGTACTTCTTAAGGCTCGCGCCGACGCCGAATAATAACTAGGTGGTGTACATGGAGATGACCCTGCGCTTCCCAGTGATATATTACGTTGGAGATTTTTTGCAGGTGAAGCAACAGATGATGCATAATTCAAGTGACCTGCTTGAAACTTTGCATCATCAAAATTTAGCTGGAATAATAAAAATAAAGTATTTACAAGTAGCATTATGTTTGAGTATTTTTTTGTCCCGTTAAGTTACAATTTTAATTGAAGGCTTGCCAACATTAATAAATTAATAGCAGTTACAAGCGTTGCTATATGCTGGCAAATTTCCTAATAGATTTAGCTAAACGGGGTCAAATGTCAAAAATTGAGCATTAAAGATCATAAAAGATGGAAATAAGGCAAATTAATTTAACAGAAATCCTACTTAGGGTTGCCAACACATAACAAAAGACGCCCGCTAGAAGTCAATAAAACCAACAACACTTTACTTCAATCCGCTTTTTTATTTTGTTTGCTAAATATTACTATTTAAATATTAGTTTTAATACCGATTATATACAAAAAGACTTTTTAAAATTATTAACTAAATACCTGAAAATTAGGCGAGGTAGCAGGCGGCGTACAGAGTCCACTGGAAGTATTTCCAAAGTTTAGTAATCCACGAGGCGAATTTAATCCAAATAAATCGGATATAGACGACATCGTTTCACCTGCCATGTAAATCACAAGTTATAACAATTAAAACTTTTTAAAATCAACGTTAAAGTTTAAAAGCTTAAGTCAAAATTACTCAGCTCGTTCGATGCGTTCTCTTTTATTTGCACAACAAGAATGAATAATAAAAAAGCATAGCTTGCTAAATGTTTTTTGACAACCGTTCCATAAAAACCCAATAGGCCAACTACGTTTTTTGATAATTCTGTTTATGTTCGTCATGGAAATTGAAATTATCCGATTTAAATAAATGTATGTGATTATCCCTTTGATATACATTCTGAATTCGACCGAACACCTTTCTTAACGTCGATAATTTCGAAATTAAAAAAATATCCATATTAAACATAAAATTATATATTATTTTTAATTAATTATGGAAAGAAGCAAATTTGACATTAACCAGTGACGTGGTATCACAATTAAATTAAATATTAAATTTTAATTAAAACATGAGTATAATTCTTATCATCTATAGACAGATTTCATACACTAGACTCATAATTTTTAAGCCGTATTATTATTACTTAACAAAATGCCAATAACTAAATTAAAATTACTTAATAAAAAATTACAACAATTATGCAAAGAACAAATTAACTACAGAAAGTATACCCATGCCGATGTTTTGAAATTAATGCTATACATACCTTAAGTCTAAAGGATGTATGTACGTACATTTCTTAGTCTTTAACCCACAAATTAACTAGATCATAACTTTAATAGGTATAATTACAAATTTATTAAAAATATTGAAGATCATTAACAATCACTTAAGAGTAGGTATAATGAAAACTATCAGGATAATTGAAACTCCTTCAAGTATTTTAGTTTCCCGCCTTTCTCAAAATTCAAAAATCTATAAAATGTATTCGTTTTTATTCTCATTATAATCGAATATAGTCCAATCCATATCGTATAATCTTCCAGATTCATAATTACTCTATAGAAAGTATCTTTTTCCATGTAAAGCTATTCCTTGGCCCATTTTAGACCAAAAAATCTATGAACCAAGGATCTAAAAAAATCTATCCTAATGTGAATTTTGATAGGTTTCTTAAAATATTTAGTGGCTTAGGGTAGATTCTTTACCCAAAAATAAAAAAACTCATCAAAAGTATAGGGTTTTAACTTTTTTTTTATTGTTTTTTAAATAGTTCCGAAAGAATTTTTGTAATTTGAATAAAAGTTTGGTTGTGAAAAATAAAAATACATATTTCACCATTAAAAAATAAATTGTAGATAGCTTTACTATGTGTGAGTATGACTGGCATTGAAGTAATTTTTTAAAAGTAATATGTAAATATGTAAACCACTGATTTTTTTGTTTTTGTACTATGATTACGTACACAGTTAAATCAGAGAACACTGTTGATATAGTATTCTCTGGTTAAATACGGATTAAAACTTATCAATGACACTTTCGTTATGGAGATAAAATAAAATTTTATTTTTTAGAGTAAGTACCTAATTATCATAATTTACGGCTTTGAAAATTATTCATTATTCGAAACTAGGCCCCTCGTCATATAAAGATATCTCTGAATGAACTAACATTGTTGAAAATAACTTTTTATTTTATTTTTGCACCATCACAAGCGATGTCATGTTTAATAATCTGTTCCTGTATATGTAAATGAGTTTGATGACTGTAATAAGAATACTTTTACTAGTACATATACAGGGTGTTTGTAAATAAGTGCAAAATATTTTAGGGGGTGGTTGCCGAAGTTATTTTGCGAAAAAAGTTCATATAAACGAAGGTCGAAGTATGCTTCGTTTCCGAGATGTGTTTAAATTTAAATTTTTTATTTATTTTTATTAATTATTTCAAAGAGTTATAAAGATATTGAAGCGAAATTTGAAAAACGCTTAGGAGGGATAAATGTGTATTTTTTGGGGTTATCCGAATATTTCTACTTGCACCTTTAAATAGGTAAAAGATTAACGAAACCTACAATAAAATATGTTTTATTTTTTTTCCTCAAAAAACGGTGCATCCTACGAAAAAAATTGAAGGAACCAATTTCATTCAGAATTGAGGCGGATTTCTAAAAAAAAAATTCAAAACGGAAAAAAGTCAGTGGCGTACCATTTTCTTTTATTAAAAACTGGTTGTGGCATTCTCGCACGGACGTTACTGGTGCAAGTTGAAATATTCGGATGACCCCAAAAAATGCACATTTATCCCTCCAAAGCGTTTTTCAAATTTCTGGTCTATATCTTTAAAACTCTTTGAAATAATTAATAAAAGTAAATAAAAAAATTAAAATTTAAACACTGTATCTCGAAAACGAAGCATATTTCGACCTACATTTTATGAACTTTTTTTCACAAAATAACTTCGGCAACCACCCTCTAAAATATTTCGCGCTTATTTACAAACGCCCTGTATAAAAAATAATTGTTTTATTTTTGAACAACTGAGGATTATTTCAAGTCATTAAAAAACTATACCGGGTGCACGCTTTTCAAGATGCACCGTGGGAGATCTTAGTTTGGGTCTCGGTTATTTTCATAGATACAGTTGGTCAAATTAGGGCAAAGTTACGAGAGATGACGAATCCTAAGAAAAGACAGCAATACTACATTTCTGAGTTCTCCACCACATAATGTATTTTTTTTATCGATATCCTCAAAACGAAAAGATAATAGTGCAGCAAAAAAAAAGTTAAAAAAGCCCTTATAACAACTAAAAGATTTTTGCGTTTCTGAATACAAATTTTTCATCCTTTCAGTTACTTAGGAATAATCTGATTGATATTTAGATAAATTTCTTTTTATCTGTTTTTAATTTCTTTTGCCGTATTTTGCCGACATTAAAAACAGAAAATTATGTATTTGTGTAAAATTTCAATATATCTTTGTTTTTCAGTGTAGGAAAATTTAAACAACTTACCATTTGCATCTGATAGTATGTCAGGTTGGTCCAGAAGTGAATTGATCGAATGTTTTTGAAGAATATCAGCGAGTACAGGAGTACGACTATGAGAGGAATCGCTGCCTAAAGGAGATGATATCTGCAATAAAACGACAAATATTTCAAGAAAAAAGTTTTCAATACAAAAATGTATCTGAAATAAAATTTTCACCGAATAAATTTCCTTACATTTTAAAATTGCTTTTTGTTATACAGGATGTCCCATTTCTTCAAATATAATACCTTGTACATTATTGTTTAATTTCTCTTAGACTGATAATTAATTTTAACCAAATATTGAGTCTAAGTCGTAGAATTTCGGTGTTATAGATTTTTTTTAATTGACCATTGAAATATCCTCGAAATAACGACCACAAAGAGTGACCCAAAATTTCGCTCGTTTCGTCGACCTCACGAATTCGATTCAAAAGTGGTCTAAATAATAGCTCGTGATGATACTTTAGAGTAGGCAAAATTTTAAGGAGATATGACAAGTCGACCTTGTTAGTTGGCTTGTTCACGCCAAGATGAATCTGGATTCATCATGAATTCAACATTCTTGGCACACTCGTTCATTGTGCTCAAGATTCTCAAATATGCAAGGTGTACCATTTCCTATGTAAAATCTTTCGTTCTTTATGAATCTATCATTAAATTTTACCAAATACTTTGTTTTAATGAGGTACTGCCGATGTTTACAAAAAAAAAATCATGATTTTTGCTGAAAATATTCAATATTTTTATCCTGGAGACTTACAAAATCTCGAAACCTTGTATCCGAAGGACTTTGAACTAGGATAATGTGAATGCAAGATTAATAATGATGAAGGAAAAAAATAATTGAGTAATCAAAGTGTATATTAATGATTTTTTAAAATTGATTCTATTGCATGCATACAGTTATGTAGCCTTACAACAATGTGAGGGACTATGCTTTCTGCAAGCAATGAGTTTAGATTTTCCTCACTCAGATCATGTAAAATAATACCCAACTATTTTCTTAAGAGAAGTCTCTTCCGTCGACTCGGCAGCACTCGAATTCGCCAAAAAACTGATTGCTCGCCAAACCGAGTGACTTCTTTAAGTGTTTGCTATATCTTTTAAGTGGATATATAAATCCATAAAGATTTGCTATGTTTTCAGTATAAAAATATCGTTAAATCAAAGATATTTAGCAAAAATGCAAATTATTTTTTGCAAAAATCTTGTATCTTTCTTCTACTATATTTTTGATAAAATATAATGAAAGATACGAAAAGAACAGAAAATTTTACGTTATAAATGTTACTGCTTGTATTTGTTAAGAATTTTAAAACAACGCAAGAGGTCGCCGAGAATGTCAAATTCGCCTTAGTGTGGATGAATCAACTAACGAGTTTAACTTGCCATATTCTAAAAATTTAGTGTATGCTCAACTTGAAATTTTGCCCACATTAAACTATCATTATAAGCTATCATTTAGACCACTTTTGAATTGAATTAAAATCGGGCGAAAAATAGGGTATTTTGGGTCACTCTTTGAAAAATCTTGAATATTTTGCACTATTTACGATTTCAAATTTTTGTAACGCTAAAATAGCGACAACAAATTTGAATATTTTGCAAACTAAGAAATAGATTCTAATAAAATCCAAACAGAATAAAATGTCCATGTCAAAAATAAAAAACATCAAATAACACCGAAATGGTACGATTTTGACTGAATATTTGGCTATAAAAGTAGGATTTAAATTCAACAATAAATTCAAATATGTAATAATGCACACCGTGTTCTGTTTGAAAAAATGTACGTGAAGCAACGCCCAGAAGAAATGGGAGATCCTATACATACCTATAATCAACAATAATTTTAAAATATGGTGAAATTGGTTTTATGTAACTTTTATTTAAAAAAACTAAGAATCAACCACAAATGGGACACTGTATAATATAGGCCAGTGGTATTCAATCTTTTTTTCGCGGAGTAATTCAAAAAAAAATTATATTCAGTACTCCTTATCTTAAACCTTAGTATAATCATAGTTGGAGTAAACATACTTTAGTTTTAGTTAGAATTAATACAAGACAAGAGGTTAAAGTTAGA